TAAGAATATTGATATTATCACAGTTAATTATGCCATTCGAATTGCTTGATATGATACGAAATAACTTTGGATTCGCTAAGGTCTACAGAGCGTCTGGATGCTGCGTCAACGAGATCACGCTCTCCCGCTATCTCGAAATTATACACGTCGGCAGGGTGCTCGAGGTAATGAGAATTCCACGACGAAGATATCTCAGATATTCTAATTGGAATGTTATCTTTGGCATCGTCTCGACGGATGCCATTTTTTCGACGACCGCCAATTCCAAGGGATACATGAGCATTATTTTCGCCTGTTTGTCAAGAAAGGTGATTCACAGCGAAATGCGCGATTGAAACGCTTCTCTTCTCCATTAGGAGTAAAAGAAAGAGCTAGAGGGAGGGAAAGAGCTGTCCCGCAGAAGTGCTGATCGTTAATGGTGTCGACGACGACGACTTGACATAATTTCCTTCAAGGCAATGTGCGTGGGTCACTTGGGGCCTAAGGAAAGGCACAACCCAATTTCGGTCTCTGGAAGAAAAAAAATCCACTCCGAGATCCGTTCGAGTAGACGTCACTCGCATTCGCGCCAGTTGAGAAAAGCTTCGAAGAGGCATTCGAGAGAGAGAGAGAGAGAGAGCGTCGAAATGGCAACGAAAGCGCGGCCGCGCAGATGGAAATGGCAAATCGTATAAAAAATTCACCACTTCGGGCCGAGGGTTAAGGTCGAAGGAGACGCGCGAATATTGTACGAGAGAGAGAGTTAACTTTGGCGTAAAGCGCCATTGGAGCCGACACGTTTTTTATTCGTATCGCGTATTCGTTTCAGTTTGCGTAGCGATATATTTATTAGGCATGCGAATTCAAAAGAGGGACTGCCAGGAACGAGTAATATCAATGATTTACGTTAAATATGCACAACATGATAATTTTGAAAAACTTTTACAATTAAAATATGATAATCCTCTTTTGATTACTTTGAAATTTCTTGACCTTATGACTTATAATTATCGAAATTTTTTGTGCGTAATATTAAAAATAAAATAATTTCTTCGATTTCTGCCTTTTTCTTGTTAATTGAATATTGTATCTTTATTTTGTGAGCTGCATTAAATACTGTATCTTCTTGAAAAGTACGAATCACTTTGTTTGAAACATGTTGCTATTCTCAAGTAAACTTAATGTTTTAAAAATTTCCACGCTCTCCGGGAAGTAAGTAAGTAGTACGGATGCGTAATGATGTACTTGATTTAAACTCGTCCCTCTTCAAATACCACTTAAATTACTGTGCGCGGAGTTTGTGCGTCGCCGTTCAAGAATTTCTATTAATGCCACCCGTACATCTCCGTTTTACAGACCATTGCGGATGAAGTGCACGCGCCGTATTTGAGACACGCCACATAGTCTGGTATCTTAGTACCAGACTATGTAATTTTCCCAGTACAGAACGCGCAATGCGATTCGTGTTCGCGTGAAATTGGAAAAGGTTCTGTTCATTTCTAGTAAGAAAGAGAGAAATACCGAGAGGGAAAAAGAGAAAAAAAAAGGAAAGAGAAAGGCTCTATTTGGCGAAGTGTGGCGAGCAGACGATAGACTCAGGGAAGACTCTGGTAGACCTTGAACAGCCCTTTAACTGGCTGCATTGCAGCCAAGGTTACTTTCCTCCTCTTTCCGTGACGTGGAACGGTGCTTCTAGAAGGGAGCGAATGAATAGAACCGTGAATTCGCTACTTTGCCAAGGTCGTCTTTGCTCGGCAGATAGAAGTGCATTCTAGTGTATTATGGCAGATATATTTCTTTACCGAGCTTTCTTTGTGTGACTACAATATTGGATAAAAATTTGCAGTGATAGTAATCCATGATGATGTATGTAATAAAATACTAAAGTTTATGTTAATTAATTCTTTCTCTCGTGCGCATTTGAATTTTAATAATATCAAAAAAAAAAAAAAGATATGCAGAGTTACAAAAATCTTAATGATCTTTAGGAAATAAAATTTTATCGATCGTGTTATTGTAACTGGTCAAACCGGTACGCGATTATCATACAACTTATTATTAAGAAAGAAAAAGTAACAGATATACGTTGGATACATTCGCGCCTTTAGTGATAAATTGTCGGTAATGTCAAAATCGTAATAAGCAGTTTGATAAATTATTAATGAATGCGATCAGCGTGCTAACGAGAATCGATGATTGCGGTGTTGTTGAAGCGAGGAGATACTATATAGAGCTGTGCAAAAATTATGCTCGCTTTCCACTGACTAACATGCAGCCGAGAGATGCAACCCGGATTGCCTCCGCGAATGCAATCGTGGCCATCGGCCGCAGGTAGCATTCCTTATCATTACGTTCCATAAACATTATCCACGGTTCCATCGAGAATGATTCCACGACGCGGCTAGAAGAAACGAAGAAGAGGTAGCGTATCTCGACTCGGAAGGAAAGCCGCCTCGAGAGGAAGAAAGAGAGAAAGATAGAGAGAGACCCTGTGACAGGAGGTGAAGAAGGCGGGAGTGAACGATCGAAGGAGCAACCTAGAGAGAGAGAGGAAGAAAGACTGCTTCGAAAACGGCATGAGACGGAGAAAGAGGAAGAGAAGAAAAATGAAGCTTCTGAACGAGCTGTGGGATGATCAATGGGATTTTAAATTTCGCTTGTTGAACATGTATCTTGTCGGTTTGTCTCGATACTTTCCGATCTACACGCGCCTGTACATGCATTATATATACGTATTTATGTTCATGGGGTCTTACAGGATGTTTCATGAAAAATAAACTACGGATTTTGTAAGCAGAAAATTGAATAATAATAATAGCTCCGATTTACGATATTTGTATTTGTAAAACCTAAAAATAATTTTTACCTGATAATAGTTATATCTTCTTTAATTTCGGTTTATTTAGTTAATAAAAAATTATTATTTAATTTAAAAAATTATTTACATGATATTTTTGTTAACAAATTACATGTTACTTTTGGTGCACACGATATATCATGTGGTAACACAAGCGTAGCGCTACAATAACCCTGCAACAAACGCAGGACGCAATCAGCCCGTTGGGCTATTTATTTATCTTTCCCGTTTTCCCCCATTCTGACGCGTTGCTAATTACCCGTGATTGCGATAAAGTATCGATACATCAAAAGCATACCTATACCTACTCGCACATATACCGGCCCCTTTGCATCCTTTGGATATTATCGTTCGGTCTGCGGATTCGCACGGATTCCCGTATTGTTGCCATTACCTCTCGACTCTAATACGACTCGTAGATAAATCTGATTTGCCGCTCGTGACGTTTCTCCTACGTGTCGTACCGCGTATAGTTTACAGAGAATAAAAAGGGGATTTATTTGCATCCACCAGCCCGAGCTTCGGGGGAGAGGACTAAATTACAAGCTTGTCGGCCGCTCTGTTAGCTCGCCAGCTACCAGCGGCATTATACCGAACAGTGCATTCGGTGCGTCCGGCGAATACGCGTATATACACTCACGATCGCTTTCGAGAGGATCGGTCGAACTCGATTCTACGGTAGACAACGCCCGGAGCACCTCGATGGGTCTGTTGGCCACGCGGAGATTGTACATACATACACAGGGATTGCACGTTGTACGCGGGGTTGGTTTAACATGGGGATGGGTAATGGCGGCTCCTATCAGCCCTATAACACTCTGTCGCGCTCTTGCTACCTCTCTCTCGCCTATGTCCCTCTGTCTCGTTCCCCAGTTATCTCCGACCCTCTTCCTTCCTTTCTGTCGTTGAATTTGAATTTCTCATTATTCTCGGGAGACATCTCGTCATTCGCAGTTAGAACGTCATGAACATAATTCATGATATATTCTTTCGTTGTATCTTTACCGAAGTAACGAAGTTTGCTCATTTCTTTTAGCATCAATGATCATTTTTTATTTTGCTATATGATATCTCGGTGGCTGAAGAACATTATCGTAAAACATTCACAAATTCTAAAATATAACTAAATGGTATTCATGTTTACAGCTATCAATAATTTAGAAAAATTATATATAAAGATATTGTTTGAATTTTACTACACATGAAAATTGTTTTTCTTGTTATTCGAATATAAAATTCAAAGAAACATTTTTTTGTAAAATAATATTTGTCTCGAATAATCTCTACCTTGTATTCAGCTTTCTTCTCCCTATTTTTCACATCCGCTGCTTTTTATCTCTCTTCTCTGTCAATGACAGTTGATTTTTTAGCGCACAACGTCAAGCACAACGATATTCTGACAAGTTACGTCTGATTTGAACTGCACAGCTACCACTTGACATATTAAATATTCGCAGTTTAGCGCCGTCTTCGACGAATATTTTGCAGCCACTGCATTTTGCAACCACCGAAAATGGCCTTTTTTCTGGAATTTCATTATTTCCAGATCGCCCTTGTCAGCGTCCGATATCTCGATATACAATCTTGTTTAGAGAGAAATTCAAAAATTCTGCCAATTCCAGGATATTTCCACTCACTTAGTAATTTTATCGGCTTCCTGAAGAATTTGTGGCGTCTCTGCTCGTCTTTCATTGAATCATTTAATTTTGCATATGTGATGGCCCGAATTAATATTTTTCTATAATTTATTGTATCATAGATAAAGCTGTCGTATCTCTTTTTCCTCTTTACAATTAAAAAAATCATATACACATGTATATTGGCAAATAAATTATTAAAACTGTTAGAGAAAAAAGATATCGATAAAAAAAATTTTTTCAGCAAAATTAATCATGAAAATATAATAATTACTATTATTAATAAGAAATATGAAAGAGTTAAGGAAATGTAATATTATAAGAATTGTAAGACACAGTGGAAAAAAATTCAAGTTATGACAGTAATAAAGACAAGAGATTTCACGATAATACCACGCAGATAAAATTGTGCGGCATTGATCAATCTAGAATCCGATCTCCAATTAACCAAGACATTAACCGATAACCGATAATACTACGATAAAAACTTGGCTCGAGATAACAAATCTTCTTAGTACATTGTTACAAAGAACAGTCGCACTTTAACTACGACTGATTGTGAGTGAATCGTAAGAAACAATGCGGATTGCACTGCTGTTTCTGGCACTTTCGTGTTTCGTCTATGGTAAGTAACAAAAAAACTGATACATCAATAAGATCAACAATTCAGATTTTGTGAAAAATAACGTTCTAATTATTTTCGCGTGTTTCTGAAAATCAGTTAGACTCTTTGCCGCGGACAACGAGAGACAATTTTACTACATTAATATGCATAATCGAATGAAAATACGTATACAGAGTACTACGCAATGGAAATGAGATTGATAGAGCGTTAGTCACGTTTGGATAAAATTGAAACGGTTAATTAATTTTTCATTGAACTCGTCCATAATTACCACTGACCACATGTATATCCTGGAACATAGTTTTTACGCCCGCGGCGAGTAATGCGTTAAATAATTTATGCGTTGTAATATAATTCTGAAATTGTTATAAATTTCACTCTATAAATAAATCCTTTTGTCGTCGGGTAATTTAGATTTTATTTTGCGACACTGCTCGATACAATATGCATCGTCAATGATAATAATAATTTGTGCGTCAGGTTCGACAAGTTTTGTGGAAATTTCTGTCGATCATGGTTTGCAAATGCGTTTAACTGGTCGTATAGTTAATGGAACGAAGGCAGAGTTGAGACAATTCCCTTATCAGGTAATAGTTCCTTCCTAATTTTAATTTAACATAAATTTAAGGGGTGTTCTTTTTAGGTTTCTCTGACGCGTAGGTGGACTAAAATCCATTTCTGCGGTGGAAGCATTATTAGTGTCAATATAGTACTTACTGCAGCGCACTGTATGTTTATGTATGTATGAAGCAAAGGAATTTTAAATAGATATTTTAGTGATCGAGACGACAAACATTCTAAAAACACACGTTCATAAAGCATTATATTATTTTAAGACTGTTGTTAACATTTTGTGTTTCTCTTTTTCTTAGCATTAACTTTGCGCGATCTAATATAAAATTTTGTGATAATTTGATGATAAGTAATTCAATATATTTTGGTTTACATATCTGTAATTTTTCCAATTAATGAATAATTCTTATATATAACAGAATATTAATTATTCAATAAATCTATTTGTACATATTAGTATATGCGCTTAAAAAATATCTAGCTTTAATCAGAAATTAGTGAAATTGAATTACAGTAATTAATTTTATAGCAATAATGGAGTTATTAATCCATCGAGTTTTACCGTGGTCGGAGGAATAATACAGCTAAAGCAAAATACCAATACAAGACAAGAAAAAAATGTGAAGACAATTAAAATCCATCCAAAGTTTGATATGAATACGTTATACAACGATGTTGCCGTTTTACAAGTACAATTATGTTATATCATTTTGCAGATTAGTCGTTATTCAATGTTCTCGTGATCTTTAAAAGAAAAATAATCCATGTTTGGTGTTCATAGCTAGCGGAACCCTTTACGCTCACTCCGGAACTTCATAATGTTGCTTTGCCACAAAATCCTCCTGTACCCAAAACTCTCTGTCAAGTATCAGGATGGGGTTATCCAGAGAGTGTAAATATATATTGTATATACTTATACACGTGAAATGTTTTTGAACTGTAGAAAACTTTTTTCCAACTATAGAAAATATTTTAGGGTAACGCAACAGTGTCTAATGATTTGATGTACGTAGATCTGCCCATTCGATCAACAAAAGACTGTCGCAAATTGCTTGTAAACGTAACAGATTTACCGGCAGGAATGTTCTGCGCCGGCTATCTAGCAGGAGGAAAAGACGCCTGTCAAGTAATGCGCGTTCTCTTATTTATAAACTACACAATTCGTAAATTATTTTGTTACAATTTGTTTCTTTCGAATGTTTCAGGGTGATTCTGGTGGCGGGATGATTTGTAACGGTATTCTAACCGGTGTCGTTTCTGGTGGCCAGGGTTGCGCGTTGCCATTGCTTCCCGGAGTATACGCAGATATCTTTCATTATTTGGATTGGATAGTGCAGAATGAAAATGTAATAATAGTTAAGCAAATAGTTGACAATTGCACAGATAATAATCATAGTACATCTATAACGCCAACGATTCTAGTCGTGATGATTTCCTTCTTTTTTGTATTGCTATCGATAACACTTTACTCTTGAAATCAAGAGTCTTTGTTAGTATAATGATAAACATGTTTGATGATTCTATTAAACGAAAAATAAACTTTTTCACAAACGTAGAAGTGCACGATTTATAAGTGTGCTTGTAACATTGTATGTGATACAATGTAATTGGTAAAAATTATAAGATGAATTTAATTTAAATGATAATTAAATTATGATTTAATTAGTTGTATATTTCAAAAGAAAAGCAGTTGTATTAATGTTTTATAATTTATTATAGGTTAAATATATTTAATCCATTTTGTAAGATATATTACGAGATATATTTTATGTGTATGAAATACACACATTAATACATTTTTATATTTTGTTCATGACTGTTCATGTTTTATATAATAATTTTAGTATTAAATTAAATAGTATCGATATATTTTTGTAAAGAGTAATAAATATTTAAACGGTTATATATTTATTATTTTTTAATTTTATTTACTTGAAATTTAACTGAAATCAATCTCATATTGCATTTCTTAACATTATGACTTATGTGATGTGATGAAAATATTAGTTTAAGATTTCTTCTTGTACTTAAAATGTTTAAAAAATAATGTGTTAAAAAATTTTAGTGATTTCTAACTACATAAGTTTTGACTGCACAATACACACTTTGAACTCTGCACAATAATAGTACACAAAGATATCAATTTATCACGTTAAAAATTATCTTATCAATAGAGATTAAATATCTCATAATGTTTCTATAAAAATATATACTTATTTAGAAGATAAATTTCCTATAGATATAGTTACATATGTAATAAACAATGTTCTACGTAGGTATATGTGTGTGCAATATTACAATTAAAAATTAATAACTTAATTCATTGTATCGGTTCTTTTAATATTTTAAGTTTATTAATATTTAACTATTAATATTTTATATAATTCTTCGTATTTATAATATATTACTGTATTTAAATATTTATTTCATAATTATAATCTTTTTGAATTATCAATCAATGCGGCAAAAATAAATCAATCTAACAATTCAAATTATTGATAATATTGTTGTTAATTTAATTATCTTCATTAAATGTAATATTAAAATTTCCGTTTAGTCATACCTATTTTTTGTATATGTATATGTACACATAGGTATACACATTTTTTTTTAATTATAATAAATGTGTGTTTAAGATTTTTAATTTGAATAAGAATATACGAATACACACTTTAAAGAATGCTTGCTCATTTTGTCTCATTTTATATATTGTATATATTCTATTAGGTGCGAAAGAGATACGAGGTGTGATTTTTCGTTGCTTTTTGCGTGTGAAAAAAAAGAAGAGAATGCGAAAGAAAAAGAGACAAAATAGACGTATGATGTAGCTACTTTGATCTCAAACGAAAAGTAGCTCCGGCAGACGCGCAAAAGCTCATGCCCACTTAATACGTGGCGGATGATATCTCGAGAAATGTATTAGCGGATTGCTCAGTGCCAAGATGGGGAAACGTCTGTGGTATATTCGCGAATCGTCTAACTCCTTTGCCACGTCTGGTGGCTTCGCTGCACTGCTATTAAATTCTGCGCGAACCCGCCTGCACCTTCAAAGAAACGTAGAGACTCTTGCGGCTGCTCTTTTAAATTGGATATAAATTTCATGCGCTAATATTTGCTACGTACACGTGAAGCGAGTTACGAAAAATTACGAAATTTGATTACTCAGCTAGAAGAAACTGTCAACGTAATTATTCGATGTAATTGAATGGCGTGTTTTTCGATAGGAGTTAAAAAAATTAAAACTAAATATTTCGCAAACGCATCTTATATCTATATGAGATAGCGCATCTACTTGAGAGACGGCCTCATTAAACGTGATCTCCATAGGCATATTTTATTCGGCAAGGATAGAACATATATATTAATATGCAATATCTTTTTGTGTATGTACATAATAAACAATTAAAATATGAGATACATATTTGACTGAATAAATAAATAGCTGAAATCAAATAATTATTTTCTTGATATTCTAAGCAAAGAGAATAGAAGTTAATTTTAATTAGTATTTCGCAAATCTCACATACAAAAGAACGTATCTTATCACTTATTCAAATATGCTCATGACACGAGATTTCATTACATTTTAATCGGCAAAGACAGAGCGCATATCGACCGTGCTTGTACTTTCGCGTGAATGTTCGAGTTCTTCCGGCTCGCGTGACCGTAATCTCCTAAGACAGACTTCCGCTTCCGAAAGTTAATCCTCGTGGAAACCTGAGACACGCTCCTAGCAGGGATTTCAGGGTCGTGTGCACCCGATCGATGCCCAGCTTGAAGCGATCGTGAGAGTACGAAAGAGAGATGAGTGAAGAAACAAAAAGTAGAGTGCACGAAATCAGGAAACGAATGACTCGCAAAAGTAGGAGAGATGGCGGGAAAAGGAAGGAAAAATATAGGAATTGCCGTGTTTCATCTGAAACATAACTTCTTCTGATACGCTCTCGTCCCTTTGGCTTCGCTTCTTTTTTCCTTTTTTAAAGGAACTCGGAAGGGCGTTTTTCACGACTTCTCCGATACCCCTGCGGCTTTCAGTCCCGGATGTTGCGTACCGACGAGGTCCATTCGTGACCTCTTTAATCCCGGGATCGAATAAGAATTCATTAGGAAGATATACAGAGCCTAAACTCGCTCTCGCGTAGGGGAGGACTTTTTGGCTTTCTCTGTACTACCACGCGCGCGTCTGGGGTTTTAAATAAATTAAAAGTTTGCATTTTCTACGGAGCCGGTAACTTTGCCCAAACGCGACAGCAAGCTAAATTCGAAAGCTCGGGGTGGAGTGGGACAAAGCGCTCTCGACGATGAAGTTCTCTCTAATTACTCTTAGAATCGAAGCTGAGAAACGGGAGGGTGAATTCGGAAGACGAAAAACGGTAGTGGACTTATTCATGACGGAGTTCCACATTTCTCGCGAGCTAGCGAAGAAAAAAGTGCGCGACTTCCTTGCTTGGACGTTAAATTACACGCTTAAAAAGAAAAACCGAAATTTTGTATCTTACGATACGTAGGCGTTTATGAATGATACATAAATTCGTAGATCTGTGTGGATACTACGTAGGCGAATTCATTATATTAATTGTACGTTTCTACTCTGATCGTGCGTAGGCATTTTTGTTGGAAGTATAATGATAAAATTTGTTTAGCGAAGAGATATAATATTTCTCATCTTCCCGAATGAAATTGATCTCATTGCATTAGATGATTATTTAGATAAGACTCGTGATTATTTATTAGGCATTCATAAAAATCGTTGTTAGACGTTAGCATACATAATATAATTAAAAAGCCTCGATATTCTTCAATTAGATATAAATATATAAAATTCCTTCGAAAGATTGATATACATATAGAAATGTGTTTTATTTAATATAAATAGATTACTTTCTTGTTAAAAGCACAATGCAGAGTAAGGAAGATCATTTACGTGAATAATTTTGTAACACATTTAAAGCTGCGAAATGGTTGAAGGCTTTTACGTCAACTTCGTGTCATGATGAAGAACGAATCTTAATGGAACACTTAATGACTTCGTTACGCATTAATGGTTGCCTGGAAACTGCTTAAAGATGCACGAGGAAATCGTTTCCGTTAGATGTGACCGAAAATTCCAATAGCTTCCCCAACGAAATGGGTAATGGGTGAGTTTGTTTCGCAAAGGATAGATTGTTGTAACATAAAATAAATTTTCATATACTCTGCATTGAATTTTTTAATTATGTATATGTATGTAATTTAGAAATAGTCATTTTTTAGATAATTTGTAATTATATATATACGCGAAAAATTTATGCATTATTAACGCCTGCAATTATTTCGAAACGTATATTGATTTGATGTAATATTAAAAGAAGCAACATTTTCTTTAGTTTGTGTTATTAATTATTGAACATTCTGTATCTTATTTCTAACAGAAGAAATAAAAGTAATGAGGACATTTCAATATTATAACTGTTATAATAATAACATTTATTTATCTTCTTCTTCATTTGCAGCTTATATAATTTTTACTCTTTCAGTATATTTTTATTACTCACAAATAAGATAAATCTTCACTTCTAATAACGTAGTTGATGTTTGTTGATGGTCAGCTTTGCGAAAGAAGATGAAAGAAACGTTTATTCGTTTTTCTACATCCATGCTGGATGCCGACTTTGATCAACTAATTAATTAAATGTAAACGCGACGCTCTCTCTTTTACATTTATCATGGATTTCGTTTTTTTCTGCAGTTTTCTTTCGTCTCCGTTTTACCGATTCTCCCTCGTTCGTTTTCCTTCATTCTTTTTCCAATCATTTTTGCGCTTATTGTATGCAAGTATCTCGAGAGCGAGCTTCAGAAATTCCCAAGTCACTTATTTGCGTTTTAAGAGTTCTTCTACGCGATGCAAACGGCTAATTGGCTGATGTTCACTATCTTTCAACGTTAAATACGACGAAACTGTTCATCTATCTCCATGCATTTATCTTTACCCATATAATTAATATATTCTAATGAGCTTTGTTCTTAATGTGCATCATAAATTAACGCCATAGAAGTTATAATGTCATATCATGAATTAATAGGAAATGCAATATACAATGTACTTGCAGTTTTGTCCACGTAAACAATAAAGCTAATTAATTTTTCTTTACTAAGAACTAGGTTTTTTTTATATATATGTAATACATATAATGTTATTATCTCGCTTGCATTACAATTTTAGTTTATTGTGACATAATCTGCATCAGATCTATTTCGAATTAAAATTTGCACATTTATATATACATTTGACTTCCGAAAAGTTTTCGGTATCAGACACAAATCAGATTGACGTTTCGCGGACACTTAATTATCGCGCCAAATTATGAAATGCTAATGGTATTTCGGATGCTGAACGGTAAGCAGCGTTTAAATAAAGAGATTATACCGTCACGTATCCTACGGGAAACGGATTGCACAGACACATCGCAGTCCAAGGGTAGCGCGATTTCCCGTCGCGGATTATAATTCGTCGTGGGAGAAGTTTCTCGCGCTTTATCGTTAATTTCTTAGCAGCATTTATTGCGGAAGTTAAAT